AGGCATATCAAACGGCATCCAAAATCATGAAATTTTAACCACAACATATTCAACATTTATGAGATTTATTGTAAAAATATCACAGCATTTCGAAGCCTTTAACTCGTTTAACAAAAATCGATTTCGACTATATATTCTAAAATCCGATTCATCTAGCAAACGGGCACCAAAATTCACGAAATTAAAATCTAAGCCTCAAGACATCTAGATAGCATTTATCAATTTGGTTTCGCATTTTTCGGTTCAGCCCATAATAAATTCCAAATTTAAAAGTCTTAATTGCCCCACTCCTTATTACAATAGCAAATAAATGAACTAACTCTCCATACCTCTCACAGTTTCAGGAACAATAAAAATTAATCAAAATATATTTCTTTATTCAAACTCATATAAATAATATTTAGTCTCACAATTTCTTAAAAAAAAAAATTAATCAAAATCGTGATACTTTTTTTATTATAACCCATATAAATAATATTTAGTTTATTGATATAATATAAGAGATATATTTATTTATATAAATTTCATTCCAACTATTATGTAGTATAACTTAACAAGTAATTTTACCAACTATTTTTCAAAATTTTAAACAAACATAGGCAACTACTTAGATACACTAATATATATCTTAGTTCATCACATAATCTCCTAAAATAATTTGCCAAAATTGTAAAAACATTCAAAAAATTTGAGAAATCTAGTCAAAAAAGTTTCAAAGTTGCATAAACATTCAAACAATTTGAAAAATCTAATGAAAAATAATTTTAGGAACACCCAAACAAAGAAATCTAATAAAGTAAAGAAGAAATAAAATTCTAAATAAATGATATATTTAGTTACATAGATGACCATGATAACTTTTGAAAATTGTTACTGTAAATTTTAGTTACTTTGATTTTTTTTTTTTCAATTGTAATGAGATATATTGCAATTGACTCATATTTTGTTTTTTTAAAGAGTGATGACTTGTTATTAGTTTTGTTTATATGATGCGATCTTATTCAATCAATTAAGAAATATTTTCAATTTATCATTATTTAAATTTTTCTCTATTTAAATCAATTTAATAAATATTCTAAATATTAATTATTTTTATTTGTTAAATAATTATAAGTTCAACATAAATAAGAATAATAAATTATGATGATGTTCTTATTAGTAATTTTACAAATTAACTAATTCAAAACAGCTATGTTTACCAAATAAATTTTTATAAACCGCTAACATAATCATCTGGTCAAAACAACTAATTTAATATGCTAGTCAAAACAGCTAATGCAATCAGCTAACCGCTGATTACCAAACAAGGCCTAAAACTTGACCAGAAAACTGTTTGTATATGAAAATACTCAATCCATACACAATTCATACTCAAAATCTAACTCAATTTTAACTCAACTCCACTATCTTCAATACTATCAATATAATTAAATAATATCAACCAATCATTGTTACACATCACATCAATTTTACTTTACAATTCATCCTCACATAATTTTAACTAATCATCACTTTACACCATCTCTTTCTTACTTTTTTATCAAATCAAAATCCAACTAACAACTAATTATATTATTTTTTTCAAAATTAACACTAGTTAACCAAAATATTTCGTTTGATCAAATATATTTGTATATACACACGCCCTACCAGTAGCTTGATTGACTGAGGTAATCCTGTCACTAATCATGTAAAAATATCTGACATATGAAGTTTTGGCAGTAGAGCCTTCCACTCTCTGCTTTATGTTTATTTCATCTTCTTCTAGACCAATAACTGGCAAAGACACTCAAACCACCCGAAGCTCGAAGGTTTATGGAAAACCCAAAAACTAATATACAAGGGTTGCATGGAGTACACCTTTCAAGTTAAAACATATACTTTTAACCTATAAATACTCGAGAAAATGACTCCCTTTACAAATGCTTGTGGAAATAATATCACATTTACGAGCAGCAAATCTTTTCATCATATATACGTTCTATAATAATAATTTAAAGGGGTCAGGTGGTTAATAGGACCTGATTAATCGTTAATCAAGTTTAATTATATTTAATAAAGGCAGATATTAAGTCAGTTTTAAAAACAACAAACCACACTCAATAAGACTATTGCATGATTGGGAAACGTTCATATTCACCATTTCTATACTCAACAGTAAGACAAAGAAAAGAAATCAAGATTTTCTCTCTCCATATCTCGTTTATTGTGCACATAACATCTCACAAAAGGAAACCTTCATCAGTCTCTCACAAGAAAAAAAGAAATCTTCATCTCTCATCTCTCACACACACAAAAACTGAAATCCTCTCTACGAAAATTGGAAGAATGGCAAAGCGTAAAATAATTGAGGCAAGAAAATTGGAACAACGAAGATGAAGCAAGGATAACTTAATCCCGATCTCACCAAATCTCAGCGTTTTGTGTTTCTTCACCTCAAACAAGACAGGAGACGGAGAAAAAAAAAAGATGTCAATCATCACAGTGAAGATGGAGTTTGATAACTCGCTCATTATCTCGTCTAACAACTAAAAATTAACCATTCGAGCATAAAGTCATCCAAAAGAAGCTGGTCGCCGGCGCCATACGTTGAGCCATGAATCTAAGATGCGCTCCAAAAGTTTAATTCTTAACCGAGAGCCCAGCGGGACCACGTAACCCTCCAACGCTGTTGGCCGTCGCATCGTCTGTCGTCACTCATAGGGAAGATTCTCAACTGAGAGCCAAGCGGTATACCACGGCATTCCTCCATCGTTGGCCGTCGCATCGTTTGTCGATCCCCAACCCTTTGATTCTTCTTATTTTCATCAAAAGTACGGTTCGAGATTTGGTTTAGATTAGATATGTTTAATTGTACATGTGCCTTAGTTGTACGAGGTTTTGTGTTTATAGATTGTTTGTTTATCTTAAGTTTAATCATATTGCAATCAATCATAATTGTGTGTTATGTTTTATCTCGTTTGTGTTGTTTATATGTTGTTTATCTTATGTATAACTATACGGTTAATTTACACGCATTTTACATGTTGTTTATCTTATGTATATATACAGTATATCTGAACATATTTTCACGATCAACTTCACTAACTCAATTTTCTTAGATTACGCGGGCGATGCTGACCTGGACCATGTACAATAGATTCTGGTTGTCGAGTATCGGGCGAATCGAGGTTGAGGTTTTGTTTTGTGATCTATTATGGTTTAAGAAAATCTTGGTTCTGATGTTTGATGATGATGATGTCTGAAGGAGGAGTTTGAGTCTTTCGGTTCGGGTTTAGGTTCGGTTTCAGGTGTAAAATGGGGATTGAATGGAGTCTCTGTGGAGGAGTTTGTGCACATGCCAGTGGCAATGAGCGTCTCAAGAGTGAGGATTATGAGAAAGTAGATGAGTTTGAAGGATCTGCTTACCAATGCTATTTTTTTTTTTTCATTTCTATTTCCTTTCCAGTATTGAAGGTTGAGATATTAAATGTAATGTTGAAAATGAGTGTAAAAATGATGCTTACTATTTGAGAGAGTATATTCTAATGTTTACCAACTGTATATTCTAAAACTTGTATGAGTATGCACATGTTTATCTAACGTTTATTTTCAGTATACATTGTTGTTGTATGAAGAACCACATGTTTATCTAATGTTTATTTTTAGTATACACGTCTAATTAAGATACCTCCAACTTGATAGTACACGTATTCATTGTTGATATTTTTTGTTATTATTCTCGACATTTTTATATACAGAACATAAACGTTAAATAAACAAAAAAAAAATCAGATCAAACATAAGCATAACAAGTTATACTGAACATAAACGGTAGATAAACAAAATATTATCACACACAAGCCATTGACGAATATATTGATTTTATTTGCCAAAGATTTGCTTTCTCATACTAAACATCAAATCACTGCCATAACTCAGATAATCTGAACAGAAATCCATACCGTCACAGTTACATGGCCCTAAACAGAGTCCATCTCGCCACCGTCAAAGCACACCCCATCTGAAACACTGCCTCGGCGTATCTCCATACGCGGAACTAAGAAAAGTACCATCGGCAACAATAATAGGCCTACAATGATTCCATCCTTTAATTGAAGCATTAAGATACATGGACACTTTTATCTCTGAAAGTTTCGTCGACCGCAATATCAGTATTCATGCATCTATCGACCAAAACTACAAGTGTTCTGGAGTGCTTATTTCCCGTTTATCTTCCGTATACTTCACTGTTTTCGACGTAGTCTGCAACTAGTTCGGCGATTCCGACATAGCCTGCAGCTGGTTCGACGATTCCTGTATAAAATCATCGTCTTCCAAATCTTCTCGAGAACACATATTCCTGAAAATAAACAATTTATCACCCGAGGCCACATAATAAACTATCAAAATTAAAGAAGAAGAAAAAAAACACCACTATTGTAATATAACACCACATAAAAAATACCAACATGAAATGCGAAGGAAGAAAGGTAAAACCGGCTTTATGGTACCTCTCGAGTCTTTTGTCAGCGAAAATTTCATGAAGAACAATATTTGAATCATAGGAGATTTCACGAATAACAATTTTTTGCTTTCTAATCCCGATCGGAGCCTTTTTCTTTTGTTCAACTGGATCAAATTTTTTTCCCAATTCATGGAGATCTCGACATGAGCATGCGCTGTAAATTGGTCGCCAGAATTATATAATTATGTCTCATAATTTTGGAATGATTATTTGGAAAATATGGAGATAATGGCGTCGGTTACGGAGGAGTGGATGACTGCAAGAGTCTTGGGATGAATATGATGAACCGTATTTTTGATATTATTTTATCTATAAATCCTGATATGATAAAACTTCTTTTATACCGTAAAGATAAAATTAAGAGGACTAAGAGATATAGATACGTAAATTTCCCTAAATACTACTGACTATTTAACAGAGTATGCACTTCTGTAGGCAATAAGTGATCATCATGTCGTGGTCTATAGAGAACTATCTCGTCTTGTAAAAGCCCCAATTTTTCCAGATAACCAGTAATAGCATGATGCCTTTCGAGCAAACCCTTATGAAAATAATCCAACACCTAACCCGAGGAACCTACCATTTGCAAATTACATTGTTCCAGCCTTTGCAGCCATAAATCCAAGTTCATCACTTTCTTGCACCCTCTTAATTTGCAAAGAACCAATTAACCGAAACTGCAAAGGATAACAAGCAAATTTGCCACTCCAATGAAAAAAAAACACAACACTTCCGTATCGGAAAAATATTTTCTGATTAGGTCACAGTTACAGACACTTATTTGAATGAAGCTCACAATTTGTTAGCATGAACACTACTAGCTGACAACTAAACTCCGGTGTTATAGACATGTATTTGAATATAATGTAGTTCATCAAGATTTTGATGTGAAAACTCGAGACAACATGCCTTACCATGATCATCAATGCAATTACATCCAAGTAACATCAATCTTTATATATGCCTGTCATTTGATATCCTCTCCCAAAATCAAAAGCCTTTCCACATATAGGCACGACTTTTGGGTTTTTCCAATATACAGCATTTCCAAAGTTTTTAATGAGCACATACAAGAAATCAAGAATCTGCAGCCCTCAGTTCACTTGTTTTTGTGTATGAGTTCCCAGAAAACAGCAGTCAGTGTATCGCTGTGAAGGCAAACAGAACAAAGCTAAGGATGATGCACTGAACAGTACAACATTTGACCACGACGAAATAGGAATCAAGTTCGTCGAGCAAATAAACCAGAAGCAAGATTTACTCATATCTGAACAAGAAGTGCGCTGCAATTTTAGAAGTTCATGCACGAAATAAGTTCTATCTTAATAGTCAACAGTTACATTTACTTTCTGCAGAGTGCCCATTAATAATAACATAAATAAAATCACTCATCAGCGAGATTTTGAGTGGAATATACCATGCATCCAATCAAAGATTTCTGAAGGGGATGCCAAGGCTATCTGACAAGATCAAGATCCATCCAATCAAGAAATCCAAAACTACTATAACTATATATGAATTGAGGTTTGAACTCCAGAGCTAGAAGATTCGTGTCACTTGATTTTCAACCTTGATCGCAGTTATGCAAAACTAGAGACCACTAAGACCATTTTTAACAGCATATGAGACTCTAGTCCCCGCAGATTTGTGTACATTCATCAGCTCTGTTTATCCTTATTTTTAACAAAGTTCAATTCATATATTAGCTCAACGTCACGCCATATTCAAGATAATCCGTGACTTATTCCCACACCTAAGTGTAGAAAAATGAACCTAGGTACTCATGGAAGAAAAAAATGTTACCAAAAAAACACAACACCAGCAGTTTAAACCAGAAAAGAAAAACCATGAGAAGAAAAAGCTTTTGGAGTCTCCATAAAGTTGATTGTTCTGAGTCTTATTAGAATTTGGTCGGAAATCCATAAGTGTCCGCCCACAACGATCGAATTGATTATCATAATAAATATCAATAATGTTGTACGAAAATAAGAGAAGAAAGATAAAGCAAACAAAGTTTAGACTCTAAGTTATATCTTCCTTTAATTAACCTGAACTTAAATGAGACAACAATGACATAAAAACTAAATCGAAGAAAAAAAACTGGCCCACATCTATTCTACTTTCTATTTGAGGGATATTCCGATAAAATATAAATCTTGCTAATCGACTAGGAAGCACAACTTGAATATGATGAGACAGAAGTCCTCCTACAAATATAATACATGCAAAATGACCTCAGCCACGAAGTTCTTGAATTGTAGAGCGCAAGACTTCATCCCCAACAGCTGCCCTTAATTGCTTCATGAACGCATTTCTACCCAACTTCCCTTCCTGCAAAGGGACAGTAAATAACACTGGCATATACAAACAAAAAAAGGTAAAAAGAACTCACCAGTAGGCAGCTGGTAAAAAGAACATTACTCTCACCTTAAATGATACCCATAAAGTTTGCAACTCTTTAAGCTGGGGTAGAGGACGAGAATCTTTCAGATTGGAGAATAATTTTGCAATAAATACAGATGGGAGGATAATCCTATTTGCATTAGGCTTCATTGACCCTAACAAACCAAGACGAGAGAAGAAAAAAATTAATGAACCCCATAGTTCTGAACACCCCAATTTTGTTCCAACTAAGTCGCTCGTAAAAAAATTTCTTTGTTACCCGGCGACTTTATAGGCCTGTAGCTGAGCACACACTCTGGCAGAATATGAGTGTTCATGTTGGCATGCCACACTGTATACCACCTAGGGTTTTTCAAGTCGTCAACACCAGTATCATAATCCATACTCGAAGGATATGACTGCAGAGATCCTGCTTCAACTTCCTCGCATTTCCCCAATATGACTCTGCATAAAACGACATGCTTCTCACCGTTCTCGTCAATATCTGACAGCATTGCACTGCACCAAATCAAGACCACAAACAAATTCAACTAATAAAAGTAAGAACTTTCAAGTTCATCTTCTTTAGGAAACAGATATCAAAGCACAGAGAGAAGATGGAAATCCCAAATGCGAGCCTCAACAATTACAATCCCATAGCTAACATACCTATTTTCAAGAGATTTAAATGGAGACAAGTGAACCCCAATGCCATGACCTTCAGAACAAGATACCACACTAGGTTCTCCAAAACCATGCTTCAAGATGCTCTCTACACCCTTGGCCGACGTGCCATACCATGCATAAACCATGTTACTTTGCCCTCTAGCGTTCTTCGTAATCTCCAATTGCTTCAAGAAAACCTCAAGTCGTGCTTTGTCCAAGGGCTCCAGCCTCACACATTGGTGGATAGAGGTAACGGTAGCACCAGGCTCAATGGCAGACAATCCCGAAAGAAACAAATTCTTAAGTATTGAATAAATTTTCTGCTCAGGTGCCATAATCCTAGTCTTGGGCCACCTAGCCGACTGTGATTCGCTCCCCAGCAGTTGCCTTTTCACATTAGAGCTGGAAAAACTCTCCTCCAATTTTCCATTCTCCACATCCCCCCCTCTCTTCCTCTTACTCGATTTCACAGCTTCAGCCCTCTTCAAATCCTTGGAACTTCCTGAATTATTAGTAATTCTGATTTCTATCTGAATTTTGGAGAGATTCTCACAGTTATCCAGCAATTCATCCTCCTCATCCTTCTCATAGCTGTTCACGAAGAATTTGGGGAAAAAACACTTAGCCTCGGTATCAATCCAAGCAATCGACCGCTGATTTCCACTGTACAAGTCAATTTCCAGCATCCGATAGAAGTCGAAGAAGCAATTCGACCCGAGAGCTTGGGCCTCAATCGCCGGCTTACCCTGTAAAAACCCTAATTTCATCACCTCCACCACTTCAATCGGGTAATCGACCCACGATCCGCCGTCGTAGAACATGACCCTCTCCGGGCACGAGCTCCGCTTGAAGTTTGAGTAGTTATGAATCAAGGGCTCATTGGACGCCGCCGTCGGACATCGAGGGGCAACAACCCTCGAGCCGCCCTTCAACGCCGCACGCTTCTTCGTCATCATCTCGGAGATCAAGGAATTCATTGTGAAAGTAGTATAATTTGAGAAGCTCTGTGTACAATATCTCGATTGAATTGTGCAAGAACTTCTGAGAAAGAAAACCGGAAAAAAATTGCCGCCCTCTAGATATAAGAGACGACTGTGCAGGTCGGTTGAGATGAAATGACGAGATAGCCCTTGCCTGAACAACAGCAGCTAAAGTTATCTACAAAGGGCAAGTTTGGCATTTCGTGAGCTTTACGGCAACTTGATCCGTAAGAAAGTAATATAAGAAATAGGTAAAGGAGTACGTGGACAGGGTTAATCACGTTTGGGATTTGCTTCTGCCCAAAGAAAACTTTGTGGGTATTTATTATCGAGGTTTTAATAGTCAGCGATTTTGACTTTTTCTTCAATAATTCTATTCAATAAGTTGGCAACTTGGGGCAAAAATTACTTGGTGCATATTTTGTTTGGTCTTGTTATGTTGTGCGAGTTAAGTTTTAAAAGTTTGACACTAGGGCTGTGATTAATCATCAATAGTAATATAGCATCAAAAATAGTTTGGTGAACCGACTAGAAGGTTTAGCTCGGTCGTGGTCGTTTCATGAGAGTTCGATCCGATTAATTACTTATATCTCATAAGGAGTCTTCGTTTAGGCGGCTAAAAATCCAGGATAGCACAGTTCAGATAGCACGAAGGTTGGTAGATCAAGGAAGCCCGAATAACCGAGAGCAGGGGCGGAGCCAGGAGGGCTAAAATTATATCAAATATTGAATAAAATTACAATAAAAAATATAATTTTTTAAGTGCTTTTGCAACAAAGATTCTTTTGAAATATATTAATTTAACTAAAATATATATTTTTTTTGTTTAAATTTCGGACTAGACTTAAAAAGTCAATGACATTTCATTATGACAACAAGAAAACAAAAGTTAAAAAGAGAAAGAACACTTATTAGGAACAAATATAACTTGTTGAACAATTACTTCTCAAATTTCAAAGAACTATTTAATTTTATCAAGATAAAATCCCTCAAAATTGTTATTTAAATTTAAAATGATTCGATAATTTTATTTGATGTGATTATGCCATATATTTTAATTAGTTAGACTAACATTATAAACATTATTCAATTTCAGTTTTAGTTATATACACAATTACAATATTAGTGTGTGTGTGTGTGTGTGTGTATATATATATACATGGTTCCAAAAAATCCTACCCGGACTAAATCCAGGGAAGAATTGTACATGGCCCCGCCCCTGCCGGAGAGACCTAAGTAGCTCGGAGGTCGGGAGACCTAGGGAGCTAGGATACATGAAAAACATCATGACTTGTAGGTCGGTGGGGTTGAGGTCGTGGTTACGACCTAGATAAGACTTGTGGCACGTAGGTGCAGAGGTCGTATTTATGGTCTCAAGACTAGGAGCTGTACAATAGGAAGGGAAAGAATCCTTTATTGATGAAAAATATATATTGCCAAGGACTCTCCGACTCAGGAGGTCTTTCTAGTTAAAAAAGTGGATACAAAAAGATCTCTTTCCCAACTAGAACCCTCTTGACCATCAAGTTACTCTAGGTATATAAGGTATCCAGGTTCTTTGCTTTACACAACACAAATACGCGCATAAGAATTTACATGCATACTCTCGATTTTATTATGGACATACACAAACTTGAGCGTCGAAGATTTTTCTGTCGGGACCCCTCCCGACTAGGGCTGACATTTTTTTACCACATATCGAAAACCAAACCAAAACGAACAGACGAGAAAATAAATAGAGCTGTACCAACTGATTTATAACGGTAATCGATTATCGGTTACCTACTTGCTATCATTCGGTATCAGTTCCGAAACCATAAGGGTTCGATTTTACCTAACCGAATCGATTAGGAATTAAAAAAAAAAAAGAAGGAAAACATAGTAGCCTTACAGTTACAGGTTACTTGTTCAGTTCTTTAGTAATTTAGTTTAGTATTTAATATTTTATTAGGCCATTAGTTAATATATAATTTATTTTTTAAATATGTGAATTAAAAACGACCCTCTCTTTGTCACTCACTAACCAAAAAAAAAAGGGCCCTCACTCATCACTTGTAGAAGAATTTCAGGATGTTTGTTCACTAGCAACAATGAGATTAAAAAATTTAGACACATTTAAATTTATCAGATGTATACACAAAAAAGGCATTACATCTGCATTTACATTCAGTTTGCAAAGACAATCAAAGAAAATGACTGGCAGAGGTGGGAAGTGGGTTCATGTTAGAAGCCTACGAACAATGAACATGTTGTTGGGAAGTGGCCTGCTGGAACATGCTGGGAGCCTAGGAAGTGGAAACATTCTATTGGGCTTTTTTTTTATTTTTTTTTTCAATTTTTGCAATTGAAAACTGAAACCAACCTGAGTTTTCGATAAGTGAGAATTCGGTTACCGACTACGAGTTGATTTGATGTTGGTTTCGCATTTATGGTTACTGAAACTATCGGTTCTGTATTGGTTCGAGCTAACCCCTACTCCCGGCGTAGCGCAAGTCGTCGGAGCTCCGAGCTGGTGCAGCGTGCAGATTCGTGTTTCGCGGATCAGTCTGTGTGAGACAATTTGCATATCAAATAGGATTAATAAAATAGAAAGACAATAATAAGATGGAAAAAACGTTATTATTCATTTATTAACAGTTATTATTCAACTCTATGCACATTCACAGATGCAAATCATTTTTTTTTATTATTCAATTTATGCACATTTATAGACGTAAATAAGATTTTATATGTCACTTGTGTTTGTATGTAATATTTAAAACCATAAGTTAAATAATGAGTATATCATATTTTATAAATTTCAACATTAGTAAATATTGACTAGCGATCGTCAACTATCCTTAATTACAGAATTGTAATTAAGGATAGATAAATAGTGATTATGTATGTGTTTGATATGTATTATGCTGGTAAGGGATAAAGTGCGATATGAGATAGCAAAGAAATAAAATAATGTTAGTGTGTATGATGAACGCTTGACTTTAGATGTTATTAACACTATTTATGTGAAATGAGAATTCATGTTTGACGAAATAAAGTTATGTGTTCTATTGTTTTTCATTTTGATAAAGGCTCATCACGGATAGACAAAAAATCATTTATCGGTTACTTGTGAAATATAAACAATTGATTCCCAACATGGATGGAAATTGAACAAGCTATCGGAACAGTTGTAGTGTGAGCGGTACAGTTGGTCTTAACTAATTAGTCACACTGGTACACATTGGTGTATTGACGAAATACCAGAGAGGAGCAGTTTGTTTTATATTGGTGTAAACAACCTAGGCGTCGGCTAATTACAACGTTCTCTTAACCCTTAAGATATAAACAAACACATGCACATAGTAATTACTACTTTGATTCAACAAAGTGAGGTTTATGTATATCGACCAATAACAATCTGGATTAGGAAGTGATTCCTACATGACATGGTGTTCTGTTATAATATTTACGGTCACCGTGTACTCCACAAAGTTAAGGTTTGATGATGTCCCCGAAGTGATTTCAGAAGGGTTATTATGTTAAATTCTGATATAATAATAATGTATTGAATGGTGCTAGCTTCGGTTGAAGAAGTGGATTAATTTAATTATCAATAATTAAATAAACTGACAGATATTATATCTTAAATATGGAGAAGTAATTCGAGTATTTTAAGAGTGGAGCTCAAATCGTAATTTGGGAATTAAATTGGTAGAATTCAATAACACTACTTTAGTGGAATGACTGTATTATTCCTATTTGAGCTTAGTAGGATTGGTCCACAGTTAGTCCCAAATAAGGCAAGCCCAATTTAAAACCTCCTTAGGATCCCTATTGAAGCCTATAAATACACTTCTTTTCTAGTCTTCCAAGACATACAACACATGGAGATATCTAGATTCTCTTTCCCACCAAGGGAGTTCTAGAGGTTTAGGTAATTCAGTAGAAGATCTTGAGATAGTCGAGTACCCGTGCAATCCCGAGCACCTAACCATCGTCGCCTGCCCAACACCACCGTTCGACCATCTTGTAACCACTGGTGACCACCTGCTGCAACCCGCAAGTTCCCAGCGACCCGATGCCGAGACCCTTGATCTCTCAGCACGTCTCTGACGACCCGCGACGTCCCACCATTCCCGATAAAGCAACCTGTTGCAGCCCGCGAATCTCGTGCCCCGCTAGCGACCTGTTCAGCAACGCCGTGCACCCGCGAGATTCCCGCTGCGCGCTTGATGACAAACCAGCCCGCGACCAGTGGAGACGGCTCACCAGGATAGGTAGATGTGCCCAGGAGCACATCTTCTGGACACTGGGTGAGGGGGATGTTAGCTTTTAGGACGAGTGATAGTTTGGAGAGGGGCCTTTTTCGAGCACTAGGCAGATCACTCACTCTCCTTCTCTACAAGTGAAGGACCTGTGGGGTCCGAGGGGGCTTGGAATAAGGATAGGTCAGAAAGGGTGTTGGGGACTAGAGCAGGCTTTAGTGACCAGGTTTTAGATCATATTCAGTAGATACCCATCTCAAAGGACGGTTCTGATGGTTTGAAGTGGACACTTACATCTTCGGGTGCATTTTCTACGACCTCGGCTTGGGGGGAAGTTCGGCTGGGTGACTAGCCTAACCTTCTCTTTGGGGCCATTTGGACTGAATTGTTTACCCCGACCATCTCTGTTTTCCTTTGGCGCCTCCTTCTAGGCCGAATTACGATCGACGCTGTGATGCAGGTGAGGGGGTTTTCTTTCCCTTTGTGGTGTTATTGATGTGCTGAGACCGGACATTTCCAGACTGAGACTTTTTCTCATTTTTTTTAGAGAGCGAGGTTGCAAGGAGAGTGTGGGAGCATTTTGCCACTTATACTCGTATATCCCTTCCCACTACAGACAATTTCTTTAAGCTCCTGAGTTTTTTTTATCACAGAGCACACAGTTTAGACACGTGGGCTTCCTCATTCCTTGTCCGATCCTGTGATCCATCTGGACAGAAAGGAATAATGCGAAGCATAGGGATATTACTTTTATGAGCACTCACATTGTTTTACAGGTTGATCGATATCTCTCTCTCCTCACAGCTTTGGGTAGACTCACTACTAGAGACTTGACAAGATGCACACTGCCCCACTACTTTGTTCCATCTCTGTTGCCACCTGTCCAGCACCCACGACCCAGAGCCGTTGTTTGGCTGAGACTCGAGTCCCCTTCGGTTATGCTAAACACCGATGGATCTTTCGATCAACTTGTCAAAATCGCCGAAGGTGGGGGCCTGATTAGGGATCACAGCGAAGCTC